AGAGATCTTCCATCCACTGGTTCATTCACCAAATAGACACAATGGCTAGGGCTGGGCCAGGCCAAATCCATGAGCCAGGAACACTGCCCAGGTCTCTCACAGGGGTGCAGGGACCCAAGCACTTGGGTCATCTTCCACTGCTTTGCCAGGCACATTAGCAGGAAGCTGGATTGGAAGTGGGGCAGCCAGGAGTGGACCAGAGCTCATATGGGAACCTGGTGTCCCAGCCAGTGGTTTAACCCATTGTACTGCAACACTGGCCCAAGACTGCTGTCATTAACAGGGCTGTGTTGGATCCAGTTGGTTTGGGAGTTGCCCATCTGTCGGCAATGCATGGTGCAGGAACACAGTAGATCTGTAGCTCTCAGACAAGCTTTGGAGAGACATGGGGTGCTGTAAGAGGCGGGGGCATGTTGGCAGGAGTAATCAACTTGTCCAGATCTGATCATGATGGGGATGGAAGCCAGACCTTCAGCAATAAGGTGAGAACTGGGCTGGGCGGGCGGAACCGATCCAAGCTCAGATTAGAATCTCATCTGAGCACGTCCTGGATGCAGATGGAGTGGGGTAGACTAGCAGATCTCGGGGTGCACTGTGGGTCAGGCCCGTATGTGTTGAGTACATGTATCTACCTCTGGCAATTGTCCCAACAGTCACAGGATAGATGCTATTAACCCTTGTTGTACGACAGAGGAAGCCCAGGCTCAGACGGTTAACATACCTTGGGGGGAGACAGGACTCTGCGCACTGGCCTTGCTTCAATTCCTCCACACCACACCTGACAAACCTTCCAGGGCTGAGACAGAGAAATAGGATGAGTTGAAATGGAAGAAGACAGAAATGCAATAGCAAAATCTGCTACCTTCAGTTGAAATGGCGGAACAGAAATGCGAGCAGGAAGACCAGAATGAGGTGTGAGCCGCCGGCAGGCACGGTGCATTGCCACAAGCAGTGCCTTCTCATTTTACTTCCCTGAGCTGTTCAAGTGTGTACGCTGCAGAGAGAGGGGCTTAAGTTTAAAGGACTGTGTTGCCGCACAGTGGAGAACCAGTAACCACGGGGCCTGAGCCTGCCTCTCCCATCTGCCTGTCTGGCTGGCAGGACGGAAAAGCACATGTAGACGCTGGTGAAGGAGGAGGCAAGTGCGATGATGGCAGATCTAGAGGAAAATCCAGGCTGGTCCAGAGCGCCTTGCACTCTAAAATATGCGGTGTAATCACAGTGCCATTTTTTCCCAAATTATTTCAATCGCGGAAATGCATTTCTTACAATATGCAAATGAAAGATTTTAAGGCCTGGAGAAAGAACTTGCTGAAAGCCACGCATTGATTTTTGGGTAAAGGCCCCTCTGCCTGCCTGCAGTGTCCCTGCAGGTCACAGCAGGCATCCTTGTGCCAGAGGAAGTTTGTCTTCTGATAAAGTCTCTGTTTCTGATGTTTCGCTAGGAGTGAGTGTGCAGCCCACGGAGAGCTTCTTTGAGAAAGGTGGGGCTTCCTTGGGAAATTGCTCTTGGTTCTCTGAGGGTTTTGTTACTCTGGTTTTGATTGGACTGGTGCCTGCGCAAGGCCAGGGAACCCACTCAATCAACGTAACTCAGTGGCCCCACTGCCCCTCGCTTCTCATTCCGGCGTGGCCGTGTCTGTGCACTTGCTCCGGGCTGGGGGTGCGTGCTCCCGTGGCTGGCTGGCTCTCGGCCTCTCCTTCTCATTGTAGCTGGCTGTGCTGTGGCCACCCCGCCGGCTGCTGGAGCTGACTGCTGGTCTCCGGGCCCTCCCTGGGTGTTCAGGACTCCACCAACTGCTTGCTGGTTTCCTGCAGGGAGCTTTTCTATGGGCTGCTTCTCCACGGGTCAAGTGCAAAGGCTGCACTGTCTGTGTACAGTCCTGTCCTGAAGCGAGCTTCCTAAGAAGACCCCTGGGTGCTCAAGAAACAGGGGTGGAAGTGTGGGGGAGTGTGCCCCTGCTCTTTAGAATACAGAGTATATGCTCACAACCAGGCGGAGGGACGTCACAGACTTGGCTATTTTAGTCAGAACCATATTTGCCAGCATGAATTGTTTTAACCATCAGCAGAGGCAAGCATTCCATGAGATTCTCCCAGCCTGAACAAAAGAAGCCGCTAGGGAAGCCTCAGGCCCTCTTCACTACAGGGCCCACCCCTCCCAGCCTCTGTCATCGGCAGGAATTCCAGCTCCTCTCCGGCTGGCTGGCTCAGCTGGCTCCCCGGTGCATTTCCAGTCCCTCCCAATCTTTTGTCGATGGGACCAAAGGACAACTGGGGAGCACTGGGACCCCCAAACACCCTCCCCCCACAGTTTCTTCAGCGGCTTCCTTAAACCGTCTCGGACAAACACACACAATCTAATAGCACGTTGTGCTTTCCGGGCAGGCAGAGAAGCGCATTGAAGGAAGGACCTGCAAACCCCCTCCTGCGCATACCCCGCCCCGGGGGCTTGTTCGCGTGCACATCCCGGCGCAGGAGCTCTGCTGTGAGGCTCCGAGAACCTGCTTTTCTGGCAGGCTCCCAGGAGATGCCAAGCTGCTCTTGGGAAAACACAGAGGTATCGAGGCTCCAGGCCACCCCACCTCCGCCTCCCACCAGCCGGCTCAGTCCTTCCTGGTGTTACTCTGCAGTCCGAGGGAATGTGGGCACGGGGGCAGTGCGGTCCAGGGTCAGTGTCTGCCCATCTGCCTGTCTGTCTGTCTCCCCGGCCAGCCTCATGGACTCACGGAGTTGCAAGCCCAGGCTCACTCAACAGTCCGGGTGTTGCCAGGAGTCTTGCCCTACTGTGAGCCTCCTTTTCTGGGGCCGACTTGGAAAATAGCTGAAGGCCCCTCTGGGTCTACCTTTGATTCTAATTCATCAACAAGCTCGTCTGAGCCTCTCCCTGTGAAGCCCTGGCTTCAACACGGAGCCCCACCCCATCCCACTTGGGTGTCTTTGGCAGGAACACCGCCTTCTCTGGCCTTGGGGCCCCTGTTGACAGGTTGGGGCTGATGTGAGTCACCTGATCTTTGCAAGTCAAGACGCAAATAGGGCCTTGTGTGTAAAGATGCCTATTACAGTTCTCTGTAGGGTTGAAAAGGGTTGTGCATCTAGGAAGAGAGAACAGATGGCATGCCGTCCATGTACGGGGTGCACATGGGCAGGAATCAGACATGACCCACCCTCCAAGCATCGGGGGGTGCACAGCTCCACACTGAGGGACTGGAAGTGGCAGCTAAACAGATTTGGGATCCGAAGAAGATACAAGGCAGAGGTGGGGCGTGGGGCGAGGGGAGCCCAGGGCAACTTCTGATGAGTAGTGTCCTAATGAACACTCTGTTCCTATAAACGGAGGTTGCTCCTCTGCCTGGGGACAGCATTAAGAGGGGGAAGGGTCCAGGGGTGTCAGTATCTGACTCTGAGGCTCTGGATGATAGAGATGGCTGGGACTGGGGGTGGGGGTGAGGAAGGGCAGAGGAACTGGGACAGGCTGATGGGCTGTGCAGAGGAGGGCAGCTGTGATAACAAAAAACCTCACCCCAAAAGCAGAAGGCGAGGATCCTGACACCCTAATTTCACCCTCATGACAACTCTGCAAGGGGTTCCTTGTTGTATTGTTTCTGATTGAAATGTTCCAAGGTTCACTTTTCTTTTTAAGACTTATTTATTTATTTGAAAGTCAAAGTTACAGAGAGGGAAGTCTAAGAGAGAGAGAGAGTTTCCATCCTCTGACTGACTCCCTTAGTGGCTGCACCTGCTAGGGCTGAGCCAGGCTGAAGCCAGGAGCCAGGACTTCATCCGAGTCTCCAACGTAGGTGGCAGGGATCCAAGTACTTGGTCCATCTTCCACTGCTTTTCCCAGGCCATCAACCGAGAACTGGACCGAACTGCAGCAGCTGGGACACGAATTGGCACCGTGAGAGATGCTGGTGTTGCAGGCAGTGGCTTGACATGTTACACCACAATGCCAGGCCCTAAAACTATTAAAAAAAAAAAAAAAAGTGGTGGGCAGGTTGCTGATCAGTTAGTTGGTTTTTTTTTTCTTTTTTTTTTTTGACAGGCAGAGTGGACAGTGAGAGACAGAGAGAAAGGTCTTCCTTTGCCATTGGTTCACCCTCCAATGGCCGCCCCGGCCGGCGCACCGTGCTGATCCGATGGCAGGAGCCAGGTACTTATCCTGGTCTCCCATGGGGTGCAGGGCCCAAGCACTTGGGCCATCCTCCACTGCACTCCCTGGCCACAGCAGAGGGCTGGCCTGGAAGAGGGGCAACCGGGACAGAATCCAGCGCCCCAACCGGGACTAGAACCCGGTGTGCCGGTGCCGCAAGGTGGAGGATTAGCTTAGTGAGCCGCGGCGCTGGCCCAATTAGTTATACATAATTATGCTGCCTTCCACTTGCACTAACTTGGTGTCATGACTACATGTGCGAGTCATGGGACACTTATTTGACTTTTAATTTTTTCGTCTGAAGGTGAAAGGTAGATCTGGGCCGGGAATGTTAGGTGATTCCCTACATTGCAGAGGAGAGAGCTTTTTTGCCCAACACCTGTAGTCTCCGCTCTCCATTTATTGAGGGAGAGGATGGGAGAAGGACATGGTGTTTGCACTAAATGAGTTTCCTGTTGCTTAAGTGGAAAAACCAAGTTCTTTATTAAAATCTCCAATCCCTGCTTAGAGACCCATCTCTGGGCGTCGCTCTGGATCAGATCGGCTCTCTCCGGGGCTCCAAGGGGCAACTGTGACCAGAAAGATGGTTTTCAGAAAGTCCGCCTGAAACAGAGGTTGGTGACCATCTGGCTGGCGACCAAGCACGCCTCAGGCTAGCCTGGGAGAGACCAGCCCCAGAGGACCTGGAGCCGCTCCCTGCCTGGCCAGCAGGTGGCGTGCACGCGCACTGGGGCTCCGCGGGAGCGGGCGTGCGCGCCGCCTTCGGCGAGGGGCCGCGCACGTCGGGGCCCGGCGAGGCGGGTCGGCGTCGGGGGAGCTATTTCCGGGAGGGGCGGGGCCGCCGGCGGCCGCACCTCCAATCTCGGCGGCGGCGGCGGCGGCGGCAGGGGGAGCCCGAGCCCCGCGGCGTGCGAGTCGGTCGCGAGCTGAGGAAGAGAGGCGGGAGGTGGAGCCGACCGGCGAGGGACAGTGCCGGAGGAAAGGAGCGGGGACGCTGGTTCCGGCCTGAGGAGGTGGACGGGCCGCCGCGGGCTCCGGGGGAGGGGGCGTGCGCGCTGGGGAGGGGAGGGTCGGAGGGGCCGGGGAGGGCGCGGGCCGGGCGGGGGGCGGGCGGCCGAGGCCCGGGGCCGGCGCGTGAGTGGCGCTGAGGGAGAGGATGGAGCCGGGTCCGGGCCCGCGCCCCGGCGCGCTGCGGAGGGCTCGGCGGCCGGGTTTGCGGACCTCAGCCCCAGGGACTGGCCGTGGGGAGGGCGGGTGAAGGCGAGAGCGGGGCCGGGTTGCGGTGGCCGGAGTCCGGCCCTGGTGGGGTAAGGGGCGGCGCTCGGCGCGCGGGACCCCGGCCGGGACGGGCTGGGCGTGTCCCCCGGCGGCGTCCACCTGCGTGGACTGCGCCGTGGACCGCCGGCTCTGTGCGCGCGCCTGCCCGTGGGCGAGGGGCGAGTCGCGGCAGGAGCGCGGTTCGCCGGGCAGGGTGGGGTGCGGTCCGAGCCCGCGCAGGGGACCCTGCGTGGGCCGCCGGGCAGAGCCTCGCGCGTGAACAGACGTGTTTCCCTTTGACAGACGCCGAGAGGACGTGGGCGAGGCGATGCCCGGCTCGGACCTGCTGGCGCTGGTGAGTCCCGCCCGGCCGGCCTGGAGCGCCGTGCAGAGGGTCGCCCTCGACGCTGGCCTTCGGTAGCTGAGCGGTTATTTCTGCCACGTTTTACTTGGGGCTCCGTGGTCAGGGTGAATACAAGACCTCTTCAGTTTGGGAGAACTTAACCACTCTCTTTTTCTTGGGTTCAGCCTCTCCCTGGCTAGCCGGACAGTTTAAAAAAAAAAAAAAACAAAAAAAAAACAAAAAAAAAAACACCAACCATTACTAAGTTTGGTCGGGGTCTGCCGTGTCTTTGTAAGTCTTTGTCTTCCAGACTGGAGTTAGAATCCCGGGAAACAGATCCCATGCCTGAATTGTTCGAAGATGAATAAGCACTTACTGTGGTGCTGTGAACACAGCCAGGGCTTAGCACACGCCGTGGAACTCGAGTTCTTCAGTGGCCCAGAAGTGTGCCCGCTTTGGTGGAGGCTGTTCCCTCCCTCCGAGAGCTTTCTGTGCTGGGCGAAAAAAGCATTGCCAGAAGAGCGTTTACCATAATGACATTTTATTCTTGGGACATTGATGATTCCACGGAAGCTCTTTGGTGTCAGATTTGTGGGGAGCCCGTAGCTTTCACATAGAGATACAGGAAAAGTATCTGGGTTTAGTTCTGGTTGAATAAGTTTGATAGCTGCTTGTGTAAAATCGGTGATTTACATGTAATTATTTTCTCTATCTCACCGACCAGCAGGTCGGTTGGCACTGGGAAATTGGGAAACACGACTAGTGAGGGTTGTTGTACCCGAGCTGACATCCTGCAGGAGGGATAGAGAAGAGGGAGATTGAGTTTGAGGTGGGAATGAGGATGGCCTTAGGTTGTGTTTGGGAGACACAGATCCCCATGAAAAGTTCACCTAAAATAGCTCCTTGCCCCAAATTACCTGAATTTTTAATAGCTCATTAATAGACATGCAGTTTTAAATTTTCATTCCAAGAGCATTATGTTAGAAACATTGGCAACCAAATTGCAGAAGGAAGCAGCCCCTTCCCCCCAGTGCCCTCCATCCTGTCCACCTTCACCCCCATTGCAGTAGTTTCCTCACCCAGGGGTAAATGCCGCCAGCGTCTTGGAGGGTTAAGCAGTATGACTTGTGTCTGTTTCTCCTCTCAGAGCGCAGCGTGTCTGTGTGTGGGAGATTGCCACCTGTGAGTAGGATCTTTCTCTGTGTGCAGAGATGTGCTGGTTACTTCTTGGGCCTCTGAGTTGACTTTCAGTGAGCAGTGGTTGCTTGTATTCATGTTAACCTTGGAACCGGTTCTGAAGTTTTTCTCTATCTGTTGCCATACCTTTCCCTTCCTCACTGGATAATCTCAGATATTTAGGGGTTTGCTTTGTTGCTTTAGGAGCTAATCCATGGAGGAGTGGCCCTGAACAGCCACCACTTTGAGAAGCCGACATTCTCGTTGTGTGAAGGGCTTTTACTGAAGCGCTCATCCCTTCCTTGACTTGAATGTGCTGTTTGGAGCCGAACTGCAAAGAACTGATGACTAGGGCTGGGTCTTCAGCAGCACACCAGCCCACCCCGGGCAGAGCGCGTGGTGTTTCTCCAGCTACTTTATGTGATACGTTGTTGGTCCTCCACCGTGGAAGAAAGGACCTACGTGATAGCTTGCGTGCAGAGCAGCATCCCAACATATCAGAATTAGAGACAGTCGTAGGGGTTAGACAGAGCAGCCTCTTCTGTATTAGTGGTTTGGAATGTCTCTAATGGCTGTCAGCCACCTGTCCTTTCTGCTAATGGAATAAACTAGCAAAAGCTAGGAAACAGTACAGGGTGGATACAGGGGTAATAAAATAACTCCTGTGGTTTAAATTCTTTGAGCTTATGTTACATGCCAGGCGCAGAAGTAGATACTCTACAAACTTCATTTTAACAAAAACATTTGAAAAGTGCACTGACGTCTTCCTAGTTTTGCTCAGGTGACCTGACTTCAGGTCCCTCCTTTCACTACTTGTTGGTGACAGTTTTCATGGTAGGGGTCAGAAGTTGCTGGTGGTTGTGTCTTGTGGGAGAGAACTGGTGCAGAGCAGAAAGGGTGGACTAGCTCTGCCCTCCAGGGGGCACTTTGTGAATGTGGGGAGGCGAGAGGAGTCCTTGTCTTGTCTTCTGGCATACATGTTTCATTATAAAATCTCGTTGTTTTTTTTTTTTTTTTACACTGCAGAGAGGGCAATTATCTTGAGAATCTTAAAGTTAATATCTGTGAATATGATGGTGTAGTCTTTGAATTTCATTTCAGAAGAGTAGAGGGTATTACAAAGTGAAAAAAAATTTTAAAGATTACAGAGATATAGCAGGATTGAGAGATCTTCATCTGCTGGTCCATTCCCCAGATGGCAGTGACAGCCAGGGCTGGGCCAGGCTGGAGCCAGGAACCTGGAACTCCATCCCCGTCTTCCACAGGGGCCCAAGTGTTGGGCCATCTTCCACTGCTTTCTCAGGTGCATTGGCAGGGAGCTGGTACTCAAACCAGTACTCATGGGATACTGTTGCTGTTGCCAGAGTGGCAGCTTAACCTGCTGGCCTCACAAAATACTTTTTTTTTTTTTAATAACAAAAGGAAGTTGGGTCTGATAAGGAGTAAAATCACTGTGTTCGGAGTAAAACGTGGAGATCACCTGGAGTACATTTATAGCAGAACTCGAATCCAGACCCGGGGGCTTGGGCTGTCAGCCTCAGTGTGTTCCTGCTGCCACTTTGGTCTTCATTCGTTTGCCTGCCTTTTCCATTTGCTCTTTTGTGACGTGTGGACCGTAACACTGTCTACCGACATCTCGGAATACCGAGTAGTCGTGTTCTCTGAGAGTGGTGGTGCTTTCAGAGAGAATTCCAGTCTGGTGATTTTGTAGCAGCCTTTCTCTGTGTTGCCAGCCATTCTTCTTGTCTGTATTACTCTGCTCTGTGGAGGGTGGCGTCACTTTGCAAGTTATGAAACCCTTAGGATTTTTAAGGAAAAGGTGCATTATAAAGCCAAATCTATTCCTTTGGTGACTTTTCTTTTTTCCCTTCCAAAGATGATGAGTAAATTAGTTGGTGTTCATAGGTGCATCAGGGTTATTAGCAAGTGCACCCTGGGAGATCTGGGTGGGGTTTGAGTGACCAGTGTCTATAGAGGGTAGGGGTTTTCAGCCAGGGACAGTTTTGCCCCCCAGGGACATCTGGCAATGTCTGGAGACGTCTTTGATTGTCACAGCTGACTGGTGCTACTGGCATTTAGTGGCTAGAAGTCAGGCATGCAGCTGGTATTGCATGATGTGCCTCGTCCCCTATGATGGGGCTTAGAACCTCATACTACTGAGGCTGAGAAACCCTGCTGTGGGCAGGAGATGACCAGGTGTCTGGGTGGTCTGTGCTATGGTGTGGGTGGGGACTGAGTCTTGTCTTGGGGCCTGATGGGAATGCTACAGTGCTGCTTGGGCATGTTTGCCCATAGGCCCAGTGCTGTTGGAAAGTGTCCCGCACCATCTCCTCAGCAAAGCACCCTTCTTAGGAAAGGTTTGCCTTCTCAGCGTTTCTGCAGCACTCACGATTTGGTAACAGCAAGCCTCTCTTGGTTATGGTTTTTTGTTTGTTTTTTTTGGTTTAAAAATGGAATCTTTTCAGTTCTTTGAGCATTATCTTTGACCTTTGATTGTTTTTCAGGGAAACTTTCTTTCTGATCTGAAGTGGGATTTTAGTATAAAGCTGAAAGATTGACATCAAAAGCTCATTTCTGTTATTTGAAGTTTATAGAATTAGGTAGGAGAAAGCAAAAGTTCACTGGGACTGGCAGATAGGACATTTAAAATTCTGTTGATGATTGGCCATGTAGGATGAGCACTATGTTTGGCACTGGTCCAATCTTATAAATGAAGTGGAATAGTAGTAATTTCTGCAGCCTTTGTTCTCGGGGCAGGGGGAGTTATAAATAAACTCCAGATCCCAGTGTTTGCTTAGCTTTGCAGTCTGCGTGTCAGGAATTTTTAGTAACATTTACCTTCCTAATTAGGCTTTGCCCAATCTAGTATTGCATACAGTCTGTACACATAGGTGGCATAATTGAGAATTGGCCTGGCGTTAAGAATTTTCCGTAGGGAGCTGATTTGTAGGGAATCAGCCTGTATGTGTAAACAGAGCCCATTTACCGAGAGACCAGCTATGCCGTGGGGTGAGGGGAGGTCGGGGCCATCTGCGGGCATGGAACAGTGAAGGCTGAAGGCAGCTGATGGACTGTGTCAGTCATCTGGCGCCCTCTTGCAGTGTGGCCCAGGAGGTCAGGGATATTCACAAAGGCTGGGCAGGTGAGGGAAAACCAGCAGGGCCTGGTGAAACAGCCCAGGGCAGCAGCCGGAGATACCATCACTCTCAGACCTGAGGGGACAAAGGAGAGGGTAGTTTCTGGAATCTGGAGAGTGTAGCTGGAGGGGAAAGTCACCTGTATGAGAGTAGCCACTGCCTGCCAGTGCCCCGGCAGAGAGGGAGTCCAGGGGAGTAAATACCTCCAGCTCTTCCCTACCCTGATTTCCATTGGCCAACCCAGCTGGCAGACAGAGGACCGAGCGCCTGGGGGGCCACAGCACAGCTGGAGAAGTTTCCGTGGAGCATCTGGAGGAGAGAAGAGGAACGCCCAGCATGCCGAAGCTGAGGTCAAGTTAGTTTTAAAAAGCAAAGCAGGAAGATAGGACTCGGGCTCAGTCCTGAAAATGGATAGGATATAAATTGTTATGGAAGAGCAATGTTCTTGCTGATAGTAACAGGAGGAAGATAGATTCAGAGCCGAAGTGTCACTGGCTTTGGCAAGCCCAGAACTGCTTTGTGCCAGTGGTCAGTAGCCATGGAGTCAGACTTGCTGAGAGGGTCTTTAGAAGTCCTGTGGTCCAGCCTTCTTGCTGTGTAGGAGTCCCTCGCACAGTGCTCTGTCCTGCGTGAGTGCCGAGTACTTTCTCAGGAAGTCCTTTCTGCGGTTGGAAGCTTACCCGTTGGAAAGGTTTTCAT